CCCGACAGCTGGCAACTGGTTTCCTGGCCCCAAACCACACGGCTTCCCACATGGCCTCATCTTGCAACATGCTGTCCTGTCCCTCCTACCAGCCTGAACTTCAGAGCAGGCACTGGCGAGATGGTGGGGGGCCTACAAGGCTGCTGGTTGGCCAAAATAATCTCAGGAACTTCTTCATTACAATGTTCTAATTTATATCCCACTTAAGGAGGCAGTGTTATATAATGAAAGACATGGAGACTTGGAGAAAAGTGTAAAAGCACATGTCACAGGGACTTGAGTACTTTTGTTGGCATGACCACCCTCTCTCCATGAGCAGATCCCAGAAAAGCCAAATTATAAGCCTGTAAGAAGGGGTTTAGACAAGAGGTTAGAAGATGATGTAATGGGCATGTTGGGCTCTCCCACACTTTGGGGTGAACCCCCTCTCTGGACCACATATACCTGAATCTTTTGTTTCAGTGAGATGGGGATTTTAGGACACCAAAAGGAGACAAATGAATGTTTTCTTGGTTTCTTCCTTTCCTACCAATGCAGTGCCATGCCCCCTCCAGCAATCACCCACACTGCTGCCGGCTACCTTCCACAAAGGGGGTCTCAGCAATGATATGAGCAGCGGGAGGCTCAGAACTGTTGACAGCATTTCTTTAAAACTTAGAGGTGAACCAAAGGAGGGCTGCTCCTATGGCTGTGTCCCACTGCAGACAGGGAAAGATGGAACCTGTGGGCACAGGGGGCCATCCAATCACTTACTTCATTTGTGACATTGACCATGTCCTCCAAGAGAAAAAAGAAAGACTGAACAAATGTGAGTGTAAACAAAGAGGAGCTTTAAACTAATACCTGCCAGACATGGCACCTTCCTTGCCCTGTCTTCTAGGAAGAGCCTCATGAAGCTTAAACCATAAGAATGGCTTACAGTCTGCCTAGCCTACTATCCAAGGGTCTCCCATGACAGATGTGCAGCACCAGCAGGCTTAGATGCCTGATGCACCCCACACACAGCGGGACCGACCTTGCCACAGGCCATTAGCCAAAACCCTCCATCTGGGGGACTGACTGTCAGTGGTTGCCTCTGTGGAACTCCTTTCTCTGCTCCTCCTGCCCCACCAGCCCATTTCAGTGCACACATGCTTTCTTTAGCCCTTCAGTCAGTGTCACACAAGACTTACTAGCCTGGGGCACCCTCTGTTTCAATGACTCTGCAACTCTGTTCTGGCCCTAATGTGTACATTTGATGGCTTCCTTGATGGTTGGGCCTTTCAAACTTTAATGTGTCAACACATGGAGATCTGATTGAGTTGACACGTCTGGATGGAGCCTTAGAGTCGGCATTTCTAACAAGCTTCCAGGTGATGCCCGTTCTGCTAGGCCAGGACCATACTTTGAGTAGGAGGACAGTCAAAGGACAGTCTTACTTCCAAGTTTGGGAGACGCGAGGAGAAGCCCTTGTAAGTCCAGGGAGAGGAAATCCTGGGGCAAAATACCTCTAAAAACCGAAAGCAGTCAAAGGGAGAAATAAAGTTTAAAATCCGTTTATTTCTCACAAACTGCAGTCCAGGGCCTTCTCTCTTTCCTTCTCCAGCAGCAGCAAAACTGGCCCTCCCCTCCCCTCTCACGTACAGATAAGCCCTCAGTTGCCCAGGTAACTACCCATTGATATGGAGATGAACTTCTCTCCACCCCTGAGGAATGATGCAAATGCACTAAAGTCATATTTCTTTACACCTCTGAACACCTATTGATTTGCAGATACACTATGTCAGGTGAGATATTCTGGAAATGTTACAATTTTACCCACACCCTGAATCAGAATAACCACTTAGGATGGTGCAGAGAATGGCTGTCAGTGCCTGAAGAGACAACACACCTAAATGGCCAAATAAACTGTCTTGGGCAAGGAAACTGTTGACTGTTATTGTTGCACTATATTCTACAGATTATATACTGAGTTTGAGCAACTCATTTCATTAAGCTTCATTTTCCTTCGCTATAAAATGGGATGTCATCCTTTAATAAGGATATATTTGCAGATATTCTGAATCAATATATACTTATATATATATATATTCATCTTCTCTTTGTTCATCTAAATGAACAAAAGCTTTGTGTGTATGTCTAACTCACCAAACTTCTGCTAAATGCTGAGAATCTGGAACTAGAACTTGGCTGAAAATCCACTCCAAAACTGTTGGCTCAAACAGTTATTTTAAGAGTCATCTGGTTTGCTAAGGCTTACAGAGCTTCTTAAGGAACCCAGAATGATTTATGGTTTGTAACCATGAAGCTAGTGGTTTCAAAGAAGTTTCACTTACTCAACCTTGAAATTCAGCGGAAAGCTGGGGAAAATCCACTCAAAAGAAAATTGCTCCCCTGAATCCTGATCAGCAGAGCTATGTAGGGCCAGAACTTGGAATCCATTCCATCAGGGCCAACATTTGTCTTTGAAAAATGAGTATTCTAAAGAGGTGCCAAATGGTAACAATGTAAAAACTTCAGGGCTGGATTCCAACCCATCCAAAAGATTCTTGTGGCAGATGCGTTCAGCCGGGTAGATCCTTAGAGGGGCCACAGGTGATTCTGGCACAAGGGCCCCTAAGTACCCATCACCACTATTTCATTCTCTGCCCAGCATTGGCTAAACACTGTTTTTGTTTCCTTTAATCCTCACCACAACCTGCAGAGGTGGGGATTACTTTTACTCCCATTTTACAAAAGAGGAAACTGAGGAAAAGAGAAGTTAATTAACAAGTGAATTTAAAAGATGGAAACTTTAACTCTCTTATTTTTATCTGAGCAATGTAAAATTAAATTATTGACCTGCTTAATTGTTTTGGAATTGCCCCCAATCTACACAGCTCTTCCATGGTACATCCAAGGTTTTATATACAAAGCTGAATATCACAGCACCATTGATTATATTGAAAAAGTGTAAACAACCCAAATCTGAAGTCAATTACTGTATATCCAGAGAGTGGAAGGCTGTTCAGCTGTAAATATATTTTCAACGAATTTTTAGTGACATGAAAAAGCCCTAATGATATAATATGAAATGAAGAGGGTAGGTTATTTACACACTCATTTATTCAAAAGAGTTCTTGAACACTTGTTTTTCCCTCATAGTTCTGGCAATAGAGCTGGCCACCAGTCAATTAGACATTGTCTTCGTAGAGCTTACAGTCTGATGGGTTTGAAAATTTACTGGAGGAAAAAGCCCCCAAATGGTGGCAGTTGTCATCTCAGGAAAGTGAGGGTGCTATTTATTTTCTTCTTCATTCTTAGGTTATTTCCAAATTTTCTGTATAAAACATGTATTACTTAAAAAGAAACAGATTCATTGAGGTATAACTGGAGCACAATAAACGGCACCTATTGAAAGCATACAGTTGGAAAGAGTATGCTACAGTATACACCAGCAAGGCTATCACTGCAGCCAGGTAGTGCACACATCCGTCACTCCCAGCGTCTCCTCGAGCCCCCTGGTAATCCTTCCTCTCACCACCCCTATCCCCTACTCCCCATTCAAATGCCAGTCTGCTTTCTGTCACTATGGTGTGGTTCATATTTCTGGAATTTTATCTGAACTGACGTATATAGTATGTACTCTCCATTGTCTTGTTTCTTTCACTCAGTATCATTATTTTGACATTTACTAAACACAAGTTGTGTTCAGTGTCAATGTCAGTAACCATAGTTGTTCCTTATTATTGTTCAGTAGTATTCCATTCTATGGCTATATCACAGCCTGTTATCCACTCAGCAATTGGTGTACATTTTGGTTGCTCCCAGCTTTGGGCTATTACAAATAACAGTTTTATAAACATCCATGTTTTTATGCATACATATATTTCTGTTTCTCTTGGGTAAACATCATGAAGTAGAATGGCTGGGCAGTATGGTAATACTGTTTAATTTTTGAGGAACTACCAAACTATTTTCAAGTGGCCTTACCATTTTCACTTTTCTACCAGGAGTGTATGAGTTCCTCTTCACTTTTTAAAAAAAAATTGCATAAGAAATAAATGAATATCTGCTGTTGTAAAAAGAAAATTTTTTAATTCAGAAATATATTGGGTGAGAAGAGTTAAAGTTCCCTTTATGCCATTCTTTTCCTAGTTTCTCATACATATTTATTATTAAAAGTTTGGTGTGGTTTCATCCTGTGACTTTCTTGGCACGTGCGTGCGTGTGCATATGTGTGTGTGTGTGTGTGTGTGCACGTGTGTACGTGGGACTCTACAATATCTGCTGCTCTGGCTCTGGCTTCACGATGCACAAGGAAGCCTGGAGACCTTTCCTTGTCAATGGACATAGCTCTAGCTCAATCTTTTGAATTGTTGCTGAGTATCCTACTTGAATAATGAGAGGAGGTGGGAGTACTTTTTTTTATGTATTATTTTTATTGCAAGGTAGTTGATAAACAGTATAATGGTTTCAGGTATAACATAGTGATTCAACATTTATATACATTACTAAGTGTTCACCACAGTCAGTGTATCTCACCATACAAAGATATAACATTACCGACTGTATTCTCTGGGCTGTACTTTCATACCCGTGACTAATTAATTTTTTTTTTT